CCTAATAACTCAGGTACAAACACCGTCATTACTTTTTAACCCGGGAAAAAAATTTGTAGAATACATGCCCCTGTAACTTCCATGTAAATAACATGGTAATATCGATTCACAGACTTGACTTACGCGCGAACACCATGATAACTTTTGACCGGGGCAAAAATATGTTCAAAACATACCCACGACAAATTTGTTATAAATAGCATGGTAACATACGCACAACAGAGCTGATAACTCATGCACAAATGCCATGGTAACTTTGACCCGAAGCGGGGTCTAAAAATATATCTCCGTTAATTTTTAAACATATTTTGAAATGCCAAAATATTCCAAACAAAAATTTAGCAGTTACATCTCGATACTGTACATACTCACAAAGTCGTTTCGCGAAAAACCGACAAGTTATGTGTTATGTGTAAAAAGACAAAATCCGGTGCTAAAAAATGCTTTTCACAAGACATCATTTTGTCTTTTTACACAAGCCAAAAAAAAATGTCGGTTTTCTCCGAAACTTGACGTACACACATATAATGTCGAGATGTATTGCTGAATTTTTGTTTGGAACCTTTTCACACTTTGAATTTTTTTTTCTGGTGGCAGGAGCGCGCGTTCCCAGGAGCACCAACGGATTTCCTGCCGATGGTCCAGAGTTTTTTCTTTTAACATTGATGGTCCAGAGTTTTTTTTTGAAACTTCGGCCTCTTTATTAGATCAAATAACCGTTACATCATCCACCATAGATGCCGGTGGTCCAGAGTTAAAAAGACAAAATTCAGTGTTAAAAAGTTCCCAGAAGCACCAATAGGCTGAATAATAGGTGAGCTGATGGCTAAACGTGCCGATGGGCCTGCCCGTTTAATAATAGTGCCATCGGCCCGGCACTATTATTAATAGTGCCATCAGCACGCGTGACGGCCCGGCACGCCCCGTGTACTAAGCCTGCCGTGCCTGCCCGGCCCATTTGGCCACGCCTGCAACCAGCAGCGTCCGCCTGCACGCCCGCTAGCGCCGCCCCAGTCCCCACGCCCCTTTCCCCTCCGGCCCTCCCCTCACACAGAGCTCAAACAAAATACCCACGCGCAAACACACACACACACACACACACACACACACGCGCCATGGCGACCTTGCTGTCGATCCACGAGAAGGCCACCGCCGTCGTCGACCTTTACGTGCCCATCCGTCACTCCGCCCACGCGGAGCGCGACGCGGCCACCGCCGACGACGACCTCCGCGCCGTGCGCGACCTCCGCGCCGCAGCGGTCGAGAGCCCCTCCCTCCAGGGCCCGCTCTCCCTCGACCAGCGCCGCGACGCGCTCCTGGCGTACGCCCGCGCGCTCGCCGTCGTGGCATCTCGCTTCCTCATCTCCCCCGACCGCGAGCACGTCCGGACCTTCTCCTTCACCTGGCACGACGCCTTCAACATGAACCAGAAGGTGTGCCTGCCCTCTGTTCATCTCGAGAGGGCCGCCGTGCTCTTCAACCTCGGCGCCGTCTACTCGCAGATCGCGCTCGCTGCAGATCTCAACACCGACATCGGGATCAAGAGCGCGTGCGGCGCGTTCGAGAGCGCCGCGGGAGCGTTCGCGGAGAGTGGGCTCGCTGCTAAGGTCGTCGCCGCCGGGGCCATCACCGTCGATGTGACGCCCGAGTGCACGGGCATGTTGGAGAAGCTCATGCTGGGGCAGGCGCAAGAGTGCTTGCTGGAGAAGTTCATAGCTGGGGGGAAACCGCCCGAGCTATGCTCCAAGGTGGCCCGCCAGGTACGTAGCTACTTGTGTCTCATTAATTGTCTCACTTTATTCATGTGTCTAATTAGAAATAGCATGATATGGAGTTTAGGTTGTTTTGCACTCTTCTGCATGATGACAGTGTGATTACCAGCCATAAGTGAATCTGAAAAGCACTCTGTAGTTTAGGTAATTTGCAAGTGTTGATGTTGTAGTTTAGGAATTGTTCTTTCAACGTGATTGCCAGCAATGATTGAAAGGGCAGAAACAATTATCTATTTTCTTTCAAACTCATGATATGAATCGCAAATTATTTATGTGACTGAAACTGTGAAAGAACGATCTACCTTCCTCTGAAACTCATGATATGACTTGCACATTGTGAAATTATATAGCACATGGTCTTGTGATGTGTTATTGTTTACTGTAGAAATGTGAAATGTTATATGTGTCAATTATTCTGAATAGTTCTTGCACAGGACACCATAAGCTATAAGTGAATTTGAAATAGCATGCTGTATTTTGGGGAATTTGTCTAATGAAGTGTTAAAATTTAAAAATATTGGGTGTTGCTATGCTGAACACCAAGTCAACGTAGTATGTTTATTGTGATATTATGATGAACCTGATAACTTGTATGGTGATTAAGAAATTTAGTTATCCTCTGCCTCATATTTGCAGTAGCGATTAGTCCTGCTAGATTTGCTTATTTTGCTAAACTGACATGATTGCTGCTTTTACAGTTAGCTAAATGCATTTGTTCATTAATTACATTTCTTAGCAATCGTGTGACTTCGAGGTCAAATGTGTCATCTGCTTCATTTGGTTATTGTGTTTTCAGTTGGGCATATTCTATGAAGAAGCTTACCGAGCTCTATGTGCACCTCCTCTTAGTCAGCACTTTGACAAGACATGGATTTCTCATATCCAGATGAAGGCTGCTCAATTCCATGCAGATGCATGCTATAGGTGTTCACTGGATCTGCATCAGGCAGAGGAAATTTCTGAAGAAATTGTGCGCCTACAGATTGGAATGAACGCCTTGGCTGATGCCAAGAAAACAGCTAAGGGAGTTGCTGCCCCACTTTTGCATTCTGTGTATAAGCTGGAGAGTAACATGAAAACCAACTTGGAGAGGGCCATGAAGGAGAACAATAGTATGTATCTGTTGCAGATTCCAGATGTGGGTTCTTTGGGAGCTCTCCCTGCAGCTTGTCTTGTCAAATCCACTTCTCTGGCGATGCAGAGAAGCTCCAGCAGTCTAGTGAGATCTCTGGAGTTAGGCTAAAGGAAATGGATCCATCTGGTGTTCTTCCATCACTGGAAGGCAATGTCAGCTTATCTGTAGATCTGAAAGCAGGTGGTGAGGAGAACTAGGCTGTAGCCTAGTGGCAAGGGAGCGCAGTGGCGTCTCCAGCAACCAGGGTTCGAGCCACCTCGGGGACGAATTTCTGGTTTCTCACAAGGGATGCTTTCTCCTATATCAATAAACCATGGGTGCTAGTGCCCATGAGTTTCATCTGAAAGCAGGTGGTGAGGCTGTACAGATAAGGGGTAGTCCTTCTGGCCTGGAAGCCGAAATGCAGCTTAGGGATTTGAATAGGGTCAGTGAAGACTTGCTTGTTCAGACTGAGGAGGTGCTACAGAAGGAGGCATGTCAAGATGCTCAATTTTGGACGCAAGTTGGTGCCTTATCTACAGATGATTACATGTGCAGGCTGATTCAATTGGCATCCCCATTAGTGCCCTCATCCATATTGGATGTACCTAATGATATCCTGTTGGTTATTGCTGACCTTGTTAGGCCCCCCTACCAGCTAGAGAGGATGCGGCTGGTTTGCAAGGCATGGAGAAACTTTCTTGAAAGTAGATTGGGGCCTTATCTTGTCATCTCCTGTGCAAACCCTACACACCTTGATCAAGTTCATCTTCTTCAGCTTCCGGAGGCTCCAGCTGCTGCTGCTGCCATGGTACCAATGCTTGCGAGGTCCTTTGATCCCATCCTTCCGCCGGTAGGGACAGCTTGTTGGGGTTCTGCTCAAGGTTTGATTGCGATGGTACATGGTGAACCATATGAGAGAATAATATTCTTAAACTGCATTCATTGTGGTGAAAGGATGCCGCTTCCACCCTATGCAGCGGAAATGATACCGAGGGGTATTTTCTTTAGAGCTGCTGCTCTCCATGATCACCTTGTGATTTCATGGGTTCATCAGATTGATCAGCCCCATCTTTTGAATGATGCTATCGATTGGAATGACATTGAAGCTGGGAATTAGTGGTTCCCGTGCATCGGGTATGAGCCCTTTGGGGCATCATCTGTTGCCTTCTTACCCAATGTGCTCATGGGCGTCGTTGTAGAACAGGGATTCATTGTGCTTGATGAGGTTGGCAGGCCAGTTCAAGACTTGGAGGCATTGATTATGGTTCAAATACCACCAGTACACAACTCTCTGGTACCATGGGAGGAAAACCACATGCACATCTTTGTCTGCGAGGGGAGGTTGTACCTCTGCCTTCTCTTTGATAAATATGCTGGTACAGTTCAAGAATGTAACGCCCTCGATGCGGCTATAGCTCCCACGTGTCGAGGCATGACTTAGAGACATAACCGCATTGAAAGCAATGTCGCAAGTCAGACAATCATTACAACATCCCATGTAATATATAATAAAAGGGGGAGATATATAGTTGGCTTACTCTCGCCACGTCACATCAGAGTACATAAATAACATGCATCATACAAACACTCATGGCCCGACTACGGCGCCAAAATGGAAAATAACCCAACATGCGACAAGGTCCCAATCAAACCCCAACTAGGCACCACTACTGATCATCAGGAAAAGACACGTAGTAACGCTGAGAGTCCTTGTCGAACTCTCACTTGAGCTCGTACTCGTCACCTGGAGCGAAATCATCTGGACCTGCATCTGGAATTATAGTATCTGTGAGCCACCGGGACTCAGCAATCTCGCACCCTCGCGATCAGGACTATTTAATCTTATAGGATTGGGTAAGGCAAATATAAGTGGAGCTGCAGCAAGCGACTAGCATATATGGTGGCTAACTTATTCGCAAAAGAGAGCGAGAAGATGAGGCAAAGCACGAGCGAGAAGGTAGAAAGCAACCTGCGCAAACATTGCTCCAACACCGTGTCCACTTTCAGGACCCCGCCGAGAAGAGGCCATCACGGCAACACACTCAGTTGATTCATTTTAATTAATTAAGGTTCAAGTTATCTACAACCGGACATTAACAAATTCTCATCTGCCCATAACCGCGGGCACGGCTTTCGAAAGTTCAATCCCTGCAGGGGAGTCCCAACTTAGCCCATGACAAGCTCTCACGGTCAACGAAGGAATAGACCTCCTCCCAAGACATTCCGATCAGACTCGGTATCTCGGTAATTCAAGACACTTTGACAGGTTAAAACAAGACCAGCAACACCGCCCGAATGTGCCGACAAATCCCGATAGGAGCTGCACATATCTCTTTCTCAGGGCACACTCAGATGAGCGCTCCATACAACTAAAACCAAACCCCGAGTTTCCCCGAGGGGGCGCTGCACAGGACTCTAGTTTGGACCAACACTCAGAGGAGCACTGGCCCGGGGGGGGTTTAAAATAAGATGACCCGCGGGCTCCGGAAACCCGAGGGAAAAGAGGCTAGGTGGCAAATGGTAAGACCAAGGTTGGGCATTGCTGGACAAGCTTTAATCAAGGCGAAAAATCAAGGGGTTCCCATTATAGCCCAACCGCGTAAAGAACGCAAAATCCAGGAACATAACACCGATATGACGGAAACTAGGGCGGCAAGAGTGGAACAAAACACTAGGCGAGAGGCCGAGCCTTCCACCCTTTACCAAGTATATAGATGCGTTAAGATAACATAGCAATATAATGATATCCCAACAAGTAAATAAAAGATGTTCCAACAAGGAACGGCCTCCAATCTTCACCTGCAACTAGCAACACTATAAGAGGGGCTGAGCAAAGCGGTAACATAGCCAATCAACAGTTTGCTAGGACAAGGTGGGTTAGAGGTTTGACATGGCAATTAGGAGGCTGACAAGCAAAAGGTAGGCATCGTAGCATTGGCATAGCAAAAGAGCGAGCAAACTAGCATAGCAAAGATAATAGTGATTTCGAGGGTATGATCATCTTGCCTGCACAGTTGTCAGAGTTGACTGGATCCTCACAAGCGAACTCAACGGGCTCCTTGTTAGCGAACTCGTCTCCCGGCTCTACCCAACAAGACAAACAAGCAACAAGGATACAATCGACCACGTGCAAGACCAAGCAATATGATGAAATGATGATATGCTATGCGGGATGCGACGCGGGATGCAAAATGCAAGATATGACAGGAAATGCATGAACCTGGGCTCAACTTGGAATTCCAAGGGTGCCACTGGAAAGATGAGATGAAATCGCTTGAAAACGATATAAAGAACGCCGGAATCGGAGTTACGGTTTGGAAATGGCAAGCGTTTTAAGAATGACACCGGTCTGCAATTTACAGCAAGTAGGCATCTAAATGCAACGAGATGAACATGCTACAGCCACCAAACATGACAACAAAATACATGGCAGAGATGCACACAATATTCTTAACAAAAGACTAGCACTGAGCCTCGGTCAATTCATCCATTAAGAAGTTCAAACAAGCATGTCAAAAACGCAAATGCAAAACAGATCTCAGACTTAGTGAAATTAACACTTGTCTGAAATTTCAGATCACGAAGCCCTCTTCGGAGCAGCAAAACAACATGATACATGACCTTATTAAGACAAGTAAAAACATGGCATGGAGCTACTCAACAAGCTTAACAAAAGACCCAAGCTAGGGTGCTCCATAATTGCAAAAAAAGACACGGATGGATAGAGCATAACATGATTAACAAAACTCCTTTACTGATCATTCTCAAAAGAGGCACGGATCACTAGGAAACAAGCTGAACATATGGCATCATGAACTAAATAATCCCAGACTTAGTGAAAACAACTAAGTCTCTGAAAACAGATTTACCGGGTGCCTCACTTTGCAAGCTTGCACAAGTCACCAAACACATCCTAAAAATGCATGGGTTGCACCTCTGGAAAGAAGACAAAATGCTTAACAAAACACATGAAGGACTCACAGGCATAGCATGCACACTTTAATCATGGCAAAAATGACAAAAGTCTAAGATGAACTAGCAGATCTGACAATTAACTCACGAAGCCTCCTTCTAACAGCATTTTGGGCATCAAGATAAACTCAAATGAAAATGATGCAATGGAATGAAATGATGTACTCATCGAGGCGAACATTTTGATATACTATATGCCCAAATCGGAGCTACGGATGCAAAGATACGACAGGTCAAAGTAGGCATAAAAAATTAGGGTTCGGAGGAGAAAGTCAACCGGGATATTTTCAGATCCAGATTTGCACGGTTCCCGAGGCTCGCCGGATTCTACTGATCACCGCCGGAGACTTGCCGGAGAGGAAGAAGAGGAGGCCGGGGCTTGGCCGGCGTCGAGGTAGGCCGGTGGAGGGCGGCGGCGGCGGCGTCCGCGGCGAGGGCCGGCGGGGCCGGCTCGGCCGTCGAGGTGGCAGGCGGCGCGGCGCCCGACTCCGGCGTGGAGCTCCGGCGGACGGCGGGGCGGCGC